ACCCCCCCCCCCCCCCCTTGCCTCACGAGCATCGGGGTTGATGGATTTTTTTGCCATATCTAATCTTTGTTTATACTGGGATGATTTATCTTAATATAGATTTCAGAAAAAATATAAATTTTTGTTCATTGCACTGTTAACTCATCTCTAATACAATACTCGTGTTCAATACACGTACGTTAAGCACTAATAGACAAAAGCAAGAGAGAGGGAATAGGCAGGAATCTAGAGAGGGGGCAGGAGGTGCCACCCAACCTACCAACAGGTAGTGTGAAGCAGGACATAGCCTCTTTCCCCATCTCATCAGCAGGAATTCAGATAAAGATAGAAAGGCAATTAAAGAAAACCCCATATACCTCTCTTTCGTAACCCTACCAAGCTGGTCTTGTCCGAGTACCACCACCTACACATTTCCATGCCATCTTCCTAACTCTTCTCTTAATTTACCACCTCTATTTTTCATCCCATGTTAACTTTAGTTTATTACATCATTTCTTTTACAAATGATTTAGGTAATACATGTTTTTAAAACTTGAAAAGGGATTTTATTTTGTGTTTTTCCTAGATTAGTCCCCGGCTCGATTTAGATAAATATCATATTTTTAGTAAATTATGATAAAAATTGATGAAAAATATGGTTGAAAATAAATTTGAGAAAAAATGAAATTTAAAAAATCGGGGCCCAAACATGAATTAGATTACATCGTTCTTCATTTCTAAGTTAGGGGAACAATATAGGGACACTTTTAAGGAGATAAGCCTATATATTTTCTACTTGAGAAATTTGAACATGAAAACAAATTGATCAAAATTTCCCTATCCTATATTAGTTTGATTTAGATTCAAATTCAACTTTCACTTTTAAATATAGGGTTATTTTTCTTGGCTTGAAATCTGCTTAATGATATCATGCCAAATAAATTAAAAAAATCGAACTTTCATCCAAGTATATTGTTAAGAAGTAGTCTAATGCCTTGTGCGTATAAATATATCATGTAACAAGGATAGCCGACTTTGTTGACTGAAATCTTTAAGTCCAGCATATCCTCAAACTCAGCTGCAGATTCTCTTCTTTTTCCAATTCTGTAGTGTGTGTAATGTACGTAAAAAATCAGCCCAACTTTTGACTAAACCAGATTTCAATTCCAGCCTTTTAACTCCCTAATTTCAGCCCCTATATATATATATATATATATATATATATATATATATATATATTATAATTCAATATTTCTTTCTATTTAATTCCAATATTGATTTTTTTTTTCTTTTTTCTAATAAAGACTTGTATATGCACGTAATAAATAGTGTTTGTATATGCATGACATGACCAAGAAAAAACATATTCGATAGAATCTCAAGTTTTCTCTATAAAATAATTGTAACAGCCATATAATTTCAGAATGGTGATATTTATTTACATGTATCATTGTGTCTATGACCCAAATGGTTTGTGGGTAGCTAAAGTCTTGATTTCACTTGAGTGAGACTTTCAAGAAAGGAAAGAAGAAATTAAGTTCAATAAGTTCTTACAATCCTTGAGTAAGGAGGACTTAACGGACACGATATGAATAACAGGGCCTACCAATTTTGAAATAGGGGTGATGATGGGGACGAAGGACCTAGATTAATCCATATTTACACATGCCAAAGACAGTGCATCCCTTGACTTTATTAATTGGAATAAAGCTAGAGGGCTTTCCCATCCATGTTCTTGGCTGCTAAAATTTGAATTGTTTTCTGTATTTGAAAAAATAAATAAAATCTTCTGCAACATGCACATAAACATAATATAATGTAGAAAATATACATCCCATTCTGCATTCTCCATGCATAATTCCATATTCTATAATTATATGTGTATTTTGCAGAAGAATTAATTTTAAGTTTTCAAATAAAGAAATGAATGTTCAACTCCAGATGCCCTCATGCATGCTTATTGATATGATGATTTAGCTCACGAGAAATTGATCCCCGTGCTTTACTTCACTCTTTTTTCTCCCTTTCTTCCTTTTGAAAGTGAGTTCTCAACCACTGCCTCCATACAATGTTTTATTTCCATGCTGAATCTTTTCTTGTTTTTCTATTAGAACATTTCACACTGTGTGTGTCTGTGTCACAGTCCGTCTTTGAGAGAGGTGGGAATTGCGTGTGTATTTTGTCATTTCTTCTATTTTTTTTTCCTCGTTTCTCTAACTCTATTCGGTGTTATGAATCAGACCAAATTTGAAATCGCTTTATTGAAAGTGGAACTGCTCTGATATCACTTGTTGGGAACGGAGAGGTAAGTATGACACGATATAAAATATTAATCAGACAAGTAAGAACAAGATTAAAGCAAGAAGAGTTATTAACAGAGGAACCGACT